CCAGGATGGGCGCATCCTGAGGAATAGATCGGTGCACAAACAAATAATAATCTAGTTCAAGTTACCGTCCCTGTGCCGACTATGTTATGGGACACCCGGTGGCATGCCGGTGTACGGAGTGTCTCTACCCTCTCCTCTTGCTTTAGACTGTGTCCGCAGGATTGTTTACGCTTTATACCCGTCGACGATGCACTTTTGTCTGCTTCGCCACGCCAAGATACCCGCACAGGGCTTCATCGTTCCAAAGCAATTGCGTCGGACAGTGTTTCAATCAACAGGACAAGAGTTCACGCGGACCGCTAGGCTGTCGACCTGTTGAGGCTCCACCACCCCTAAGCTGGGTTCACGTCAGTTAACGGACGCTGTTGCCTAATCAGTGCTGTGATAATTTTTGTTTACCTTGAAGTCACTCAGTAATTTAAAAGATTAATTGGCGAGCATACGTTTGCTTTCAATAACTTCTCTTCAGGCCTTCACGTTTATACAGTTTTAAACTAAGCTAAAGCTTTGGACTGGTAGAAAAAATCCTGCGGTTTTTTGGGTGGCGGGGACAAAATTGAGGTCAGAACTCTGATCGGCTTCGGAAGAAACTGACCCGCACATTTCACTTTCCTAATGACAATGCAAGTTAATATGCGAAAAAATTCGAGGTCCAGATAAAATATTCTTTTCATCATCCCCGGAAGAGGAAGAAGAAGAAGAGACGATTTCTGGGACCAAGGTGTATTTTGGCTGACGTTTCAAAAGCGTGTTCGCTTCCATCGTCAGAGCGTGGTGTCGGACGGAGAGAGGTAAGCAGGGCCGGCAGTCGGCAGCCGCGAGCAAAGATGGTGGAAACGCTCATGAGACACAAAAACAACTTGACACAGCTCATGAAGACGCCCGTGAGGACACGAGCAATTCAAACAACCACAGAAATCGATCGGTGCGATCGATTGACACATGGGCATTAAGCAAGGCTAATGGTCGGACACATTCATCTGACGCGAACAGGAGTACAGACACCACGCTCTGACGATGGAAACGAGCACGCTTTTGAGACGTCAGCCAAAATACACCCTGGTCCCAGAAATCTTCTCTTCTTCTTCCTCTTCTGGGGATGATGAAAAGACAATGTAAGTGTACAGGTCTGAAGGGAGTTTATCGGAAGCATACGTGTGCTCACCAATTTATCTTTTGCATTTTTCCAATGGGAATTTTCGTAACTTTAAAACACTCAGCATTTGTAAACTAACTGATTCTACACTTCAGGCGCGCAATCCTCTTACTGGATGATTGAACTTTTAAATTTAAAAAAAAACGTTCACGTCAGTTAACGGCTGCTGTCAGTTAAGCCGAAGCGTCATAGTTTGTTTACCTTGTTCAACCGTACTGTGAGAGTGAAACCGTTTATTCAAGCCTCCCCCTCTATAAGTGGCATTAATTTCAGTGGGACGATGCGTAAACTGTCGCATAGGGTCTAGCGCGTCATCTGCCCGGATTACTCGACGTTCATGTCGTGGAGGATTCTAGCAGCAGCAGGAGAAGGATTGTCGACATATTTGGCGTCATCAGTTAGCTTTGTCCCAACCACAAATCACGTACGCTTTTCTTGTGAAATCTTTCGCAGATTTATCAGGGAGCGTCCAAGGCTAAACCAGGTGATCACATTCCGCTCTACCGTCAGGTGAAATCTACGGTCCGAACGAGGGGGAGGTCGACGACCACGCTAACTCAAGGTCAATGTCAGTAGAGAGGATGGGGCCAACCAAAGGGCGTACGAACGCACGTGCATCGGACACGGCTACAACACAGGGCTAGCTGTGAGGTGCATTAATTCGAGGCAGACGGAAGAGTAAGCATCAGGCTCTGACGATGAGAACGTGCACGTTTTCGAAACGTCAGCATAGATACAATTGGGTCCCAGCACTTGCTCCCTCTTCCTCTTTCTCTTCCGGGAATGATGAATATCTTATAGTATCTGGACCCCGAATATTGGCGCTTATTAAGTAGCCACTATATAGCAAATAACTGCCGTTGTTGGATTTATTACTGAGTTTGTAGGTGTATTGTCGCACAACTTTTATCACCGTCTCAGCCTATCCTATATGTCATCTCTGCCGTATACGCGTCGGTTTAATGAGGATACCTCCAACGGGTGGATGGATTACATGACTGCCTTGATACTTCTTATTGCTTGAAAACGCTCACACACTAATGAACCGAACCCCTCACAGCTGCATCATGCAGCGGCACAAGCTCGACAAGCAATGCACACCTGGGCTTTTAGTTAGTACCTGTGTTGTCATTGTGGCAAATCACTCGTTATCTGTAAACTAGTTAATTCTCCATTTCATGTGCTCAATCTTCTCCTTGCTTCCGTCTAGCTTGCACTCGCTAATTAAGCGTTGAAATTGAAAACAAACAATTTCCAATGCCCAGAGAATGTATGGAGTTGTGAACGGCTGGCTGCCAATAGCCAACTAACCAAAAAGATTCCCATCTCAGTCTGCTCTGCCTTTGTCGGTATTCCTTACTGTACGCTCCCCTAATCTGCCTACCTCACTTTTTAGCCAACTAAGTCCGCGCGAATTGGACACAGTCTGTCTCGACGCTTCTAAGAATACCTTCGAGAAGCGGGTCAAGCCGGGCTTAGTGCTTGCTTCTAAAATCGGCAACATGTACACGGCGTCATTGTACTCCTGTCTCATCAGCCTCTGTTGCACGTAAGTCTGTCTGAAAAAAGAATGTGACGTTTACTATTGTTGCAATATGTCACGTTACTTAAACAAAGTAAGTAGTTAATGTATCATAATAATAATTTGTGCTCATTGCAGAGTCCCCGAGGCGGAACTACACGGACGACGGATACTCATGTACGCTTACGGCTCCGGTTACACGGCATCAATGTTCAGCATCCTTGTCGCTCCGGATGCCTCAATGTCGTCCATCTTCGGTGTGAACACGCCGGCCTCACCCATCGAACGTCTTACTCTGCGCATTCCAGTTACCTACGAGGAATTTCAGGAGATGATAAAGAGTCGTCAGACCAGTGTCGATAAAGGTGTCCTTATTTTTGCCTTTTGCATTCTTTCCTATCGCCTTTATTATTGTTGTCTTCTGTTGTTGCTTCTTACATTTTCGGCAATTCGCCATCGGGCCGATACAATTGTACTGATAGTGAAAATAGTACAGTTGGACGGGGTTAAAACGAAGTTTATTTCAGGGATTGGAAGCTAAAGTGCGATGTCTCTGCTTTCCGGAAACTGCTGAAACAGAACTCCAGGCGCCGTAGAACACGCTTCTTGAAAATGGATGTCAAAAATGGTTTATCCTCAGGAGTATTGGCGAACGCACCAAAAAGCCTGTTACCTTAACTGCAGGAAGGAAAGTCAAGTTAACAAGATTGTCTTTCTTAGGCGATGCAACAAGTGAACTGATAAGTCGA